CACTCAGCCACCACTGCTGATAGCGGGCCAACCACTATAGACTACCGCCGGAGTCCTTAAAAACAATCGAGATTCGTTGGGAGGTTCCGGGAGGCTTCGATATGATCATTTCCGGTCATATTGATGGCCGAAAACGGCCATATCAGGCTAGATTTGGCCAGAAATGGCTAGATCTATTCTGGCCATTTCCGGCTAGATCCTTGGCCGATAATGGCCAGCGATCTAGCTTTGATATGGTCGTGTTTGGCCATCAATATGGCTAGAAACGGCCATATCAGAGCCTCGTGGTCACAGTGAGCTACTCATGACGACTTTCGGAGACTTCCGACGGTGGTTTGAGGTGCCGGCAGGGGGTGGGGGTGATTTTTTCATAAATTAAAGTTTTATATAAGCGGGGGTGTTTTAGCTAAATCTGAAATATTGGGGGTTAAAAGAGATTATTCAAAAATTAATAATAAAAATAATATTATGTTAATATTTAAAAAGAGGACAATTTAATAATTTAAATAACATATCCACCAATTTATTCTCCCTAACCAAACATATTAATATAACATACCCACCAACTAACCAAACATATTTTCCTAAAGATTTCCAGTAATCTTCAAGGTAATATAAGATTCCAGTAATCTAATATTTCCTGAACCAAACGCACATTTTAGTGACTAAGCATTACAGTTAAACTTTAAAGTCATAACTTTTTTCTCATATTTCTCACTTTTTTGGGTAACTAGTATTTATATAAAAGAATAAATAATACACTTAAAAGGGGATGACCCCTACACAAAGTATCCATTTACAACAGCCAAAGAGAGACTCAAGCAAAAGGAAACCCAAAATAAATTGGATAAACAATCCTAAAAAACCCAACACATATCACATGATTGAGGCAAACACAAAAGGAACTCCTATATGTCCTAAACCAACCCAAAAATAGCTGAATGGATTGAGCAAAAGTACCAGTAGAGAAGACCAAAACACAACAAAACTCCAAACCAACAAAAAATAAAAAAACTACACCAGGACATGCAAGGGCTAAAAAAAGGGCAAGCAGCAAGAAAAAAAACCCTATCCTACATCGACAACAGCCCCAACGCCCACTGAACCGCAAGCCAAACCAGGAGGATTGAACCTCCATAAGGACCAATCAAAGCACAAAAAGCCAACCATGCAGCAACTCACAAAAACCCAGCAGGCACTAAGCAAAAAAGACACCCAACCTACATCAGCGATAGCCCCCACTCCATCCCAACCATAAGCCAACCTCGGCAAAAGAACTCAAAAGGGACCACACCAAACAATAACCCAATACAACAAAATTAAAATTGGACACACAACTGCTCACAACAACCCAGCACCCTCAAACACCCTGCAATCGGCAATCAAATTGGCCCGCCATCCTGTAACCAATACACACCACCCCTCACCTTACGTGCAACCTTGCCAATCAACCCAAAGCTCCTGCAATTGACGCAACAGTTAATGAAACATAACAGTAAGGAATTATGACTGCTCCAACAGCACACAGTAGCCTAACCAAGAGTAGCCAAGAAAAGGGTCCACAAAATCAAAAGCATATAGGCACCAAAGTCATAATCACACAACAACATCACTCCACACAAAACAGACCCAATCACAGGGACAAATCATCCATACCTGAACAACAGAAGTTGCCCAAAACCATCACAGGGCCAAAAAAAGATCACACCACAAGCTCAAAACCACCCACATCCATAGCCCCACATCAACCACGTGGACAACCCCATCGACACAAAACAGACCTAAAATAGGCCTTCCATAAACACCACCCACATGAACAATCATGACCTATTCCCTTCCAAAATTCGGTAAGGGAATAGGTCATGATTGTTCTCCAAACAGACAACAGAGGCGGTAATACCCAGAAGATTTTGGTAGAAAGACACGAAGGCGTAAGCCAAATCCTTATTCTCAATCACATCACTTGAGTTAAAGAGAATTCTAGCAATTCTTTTAACTCTTTAAGAGGACTAGAGAGACCCAAGGAAAAAAGTTGAGTTCTGATCACCCACACTCAACCAGTGCACTTTAGATTGCTGCTTAAGGAATCTTTCTTCATCCAAGAGGGTCTCTTTGAGGGCGGATGAAACCACAACCTCATGCTCATGAAGCTCACAGTTATGAGGGTCACGGTTAAGGGCAAGATGTAACATCTCAACCTCCCTCCTAAGAATCTACACTTTTCTACTAAGGTGGCCTTGCTTCCTATTGAGATTTCTAAAGAAAGACTTTAAGGATTTCAACTTATTAACAATAGGAAACATAGGCATCCCTACATGACAAACATCACAACTCTTCTTTACACCATCCCAAAACTTATGTTTATGCATCGGATAGTTAGAAAATTTAAAAGGACGGGCCTTCGAAGAGCAATTCGTAGGGAAAGAAGTAACAGAGGGGCTATGGTCACTAAGACCTTGGGGCCAAAAAAAAGACTCACCCTTAGGAACCTTGTCACAAAGGAAGAACTATTAATCACCTTGTCAAGTTTTTTAAGGACCTTATTATTGCCATGAGGTTTTCTACTCCATGAAAACATAATATTCACTTGACTCAAGTCCTCAACCTTCATGTCTTCAACACAATCCAAAAAATCAGACATCTCAGAGGAGACAACAGAGGAGCCCCCCCAAGCTCTCACTAAGATTAAGAATCGCATTAAAATCTCCCAAAATAACTTAGGGGTTTCCCCCCATGGTAAGCTTGTGAGCCCTCAAACATTCCTATAACTCACGCCTTTTCAAGTAATCATTCTCAGCATAAACAAAAGAGGAGAAGAAACTATCCCCATTAGCAATCTCCCTAATGGAGCAATGGATAACCTAATCTGTCATCCCATAGACCCTTACATTAAACACCGAAGGATCCCAACCAATAGCAAAACGACAACCCTGCGACCCATACTCACTATTAGAAACCCAGTCTCATCTACTAAAAATGCCATCAAAAACACACTTTACATTCGATCTTGCAACACGAGTCTCCAATGCAGCACATAATGCAAGCTTCTTATCCTTAATAAGGACCCTAATCTCTTTTTGCTTAATGGGCTGGTTAAGGCCTCTAATGTTCTAGCAACTGATTCTAATTATGGGTGGGAGGGAGGTTTTGAGGGTTGGCACATCCCCCTCCAGTACACGTCGCAAAAGAACCACCATTCATGACAAATTCTACCATCGAAACAGAGTCAAAGTCAGAGTCAACATTCAGACCATTCGAGCCCAATTCAGAATCCGCTTCCATGCCCATTTCAATCAAACACGACTAACCCTGATCAACCATCACCAACTCCCTGTCACCATCGTGTTTAAAGCTACGGATTGGAACACATTACCCATTCAAATACCTTTTTTCCACTTGCTAAGCTGAACAAAGCTATCATTTTTAGAGTTTGCTACCTTTTTAGACTTTTAAGAAGGAGAAGCAATATCACTGGGAATCCCAGGAGGATCTACAGGATCACTTGAAATAACAATCTGTTTTGATGAGGAGATAACCACCGAGGGTTTTAAAACTGCCTTGCCTTTACCCTTACAATATACCTCAATAAACCCTTCCTTATCATTTTGAGGGTCCTTTGAAGAGTCCCCTACGTGGTTATTTTCTATATTTTTCAGAAGGGAAACGCAAGATTCATTTGCATGCCCAAACATTTGACGTCTCCATTGGCAGCTAACATGAACCTCCAAAATTCTCCATTCCTAGTTCTCACCCATAGGCATTTTAATTCTAATCAATTCCAACAATTTATGGGTCGATAAGGATTCTAGCAAAACCAATGTGACCTAACTGATCATGACACGTTTCATATGTAGTCTTATTAAGGACTATAGGTCTACCCACCATGCTCGCCATATAACTCAGCTCCATTAGGCTCCATAACTATAGAGGCACATCAAAGAACTTTACCCACAGCGGAATTGATTTTGGGAAGACTCTGCTAAGTTCCAAGTCAGGATGCCATTTTTTAACCAAGATCGACTTATTTTGGAAAAGCCACGGACCATCCTCCAAACAGTTCGACGTACCCTCTTCATCTTTAAATTTGAAGAAGAAAAATCCCTTGTCGTTAAGCATCACTTTATATTGTATTTCTTCCACATTTTCATAGCAAAATGTTGCACCATGTGAAACAAGGGTTTTTTTTGTTTATCAATGAATAAATGAACATGTTTCCCATTTTTTCCTACCCTTCAAGGCAACTGACAGTGGCAGGCAACCCATGGCAAAACCATATCATCAAACGAAGGCTGAAACACTTGATAAAGCTTGATTAGCCGGACATACCATAGAGCCTCCAGCCCCTAATGTCAGCCCAACAAAACCCCCTGTACCATGCTTTGAGGAAACCTAAACACCAACCTCCTTGACTAGACCACTAGAGGAATTCACTGCCACAACCACCTGAGCCTCAACCTCATTCACAGCTGAAATCGACACCCGAGAAAAACCCCTAACCTCCCCACAATTCCTTATGGGAGGGTTACGCGAACGGTCCCGATTACTACCCTTCCTAGACTTTGAATTCACCACAATTTCATGGTGATGACCACCCCTTCAATGGGCAACTTCTGAATCCTGCATGTCCACAATGATCCTAGTTCGATCTTAATTACATCTAGGGCATTTCCTCAAGATAGGCTCTCCATCACCCTTCACATCGATAGAACACGTACCCTCACCAACGGACAAAACCCCCTTTGTCATCAAACCCATCCCCACCAGTTTCTTAGTCAAATCAACACACTCAACCACACCACCCACCTTAGCATCGTTGCCACTCAAATCCATGGAGTATTTACCCTCTCCAGATGGTGAACGGCTAAGCTGCCTACCCCCTTGCTTTCTCACACATCTTAGGAGCTGAATTTTTTGCCCTAACCCATCAACGGAGTCTTTTTGTAGCTTCATAGAAGCACCATAAAAAGAAAGGAAAAAATTATCAAAAGGAAGAGAAAGAAAACCACCGCGACCCGTGGAGCATAACCTTGCTCCAACGACCTTTAGGGCCACTGTCGACAGCGGCAACACACAGTACAGAGGCGGTGTAGCAGCACAAAGAACTTTGTCTTTCTATCTCATGACACGTGGAAAGACATAAAGCTAAAATGTGTATATTAATTTTTATAATTTTTTTTTCTACTTTTAAGAATTAATAGAAATGAATAAAAAAAAAATTATTTAATTTTTTCCTTTTAATTCTTATATATATATATATTTTTTTTAGGAAGCGTTCCTGGATTGCAGGCGTCCTTATATTACACTCAATCATGTACACACACACACACACCATATATATATAATCAGTTCAGATCTGGGTTTGACTGCAAAGATAAGAAAAGAAAACTGAAGGCAAAGAATAGGTAAGAAAATGAGTGATAGTGTGGGTAATCCTCCAAAATTTCACTTTGTTTTAGTTCATGGATCGAGTCATGGAGGGTGGTGCTGGTTCAAGATCCGTTGTCTTATGGAAACATCAGGATACAAAGTCACTTGCCTTGACCTTAAAAGCGCCGGTATCGATTCATCTGACCCTAACACACTCTTCACTTTTGAAGAATATAATCAACCACTTATTGAGTTCTTGTTTAATTTGCCTGAGGATGAAAAGGTTAGATCTTAATCTAAATAACATTGTTTATTTATTTCTAGCTGGATAATATTATTGAAGGCATAAATTTTTCAGGTGATATTGGTGGGTCACAGTGCAGGAGGTCTGAGCTTGACGGATGCCTTACACAAGTTTGGTAGTAAGAAGATTCAAATGGCCATTTATGTTGCAGCCAACATGTTGAAGTATGGTTTTATTACAGATGAAGATGTCAAGGAAGTAAGTTTCATTGTAAAAGTACTTAAATATTAAAACTTTAGTTTAATATTTAAGTGGTTGATAATTGATGGTTTCAGGCAGTCCCAGATTTATCAGAATACGGAGATGTAGAAGAACTAACGTTTGGGTTGGGTCCTGATAAGCCTCTAACAAGCATCATAGTGAAAAAGGAATTTCAGCGAGAAATCCTTTATAATATGAGCCCTATGGAGGTGAGAAGTTCTCTTCATATCCTATATATTGTCAATTTTTTTTTTTTAATGATCTGGATGTCTCAACCAATTACGTGCACCTCAACTAATTCTTTAGGATCCTGAAACTACCAACCGAGTAGAGTTTTAATAGTTACCCTTATTAGTAATCGAGAAGGGACTTGAATTCAGGACTTCTTAAATAGTACACCTAAAAGCTCTTGTCGAAACCATTCAACCACCCATGGGTTGGTTTATATATTGTCATTTCTTCTCTAATGGTTTGCACTCTAATATCAGGGATTTTATTGATTCATTCTCAACTTTAACTGGTCGTCTTATTTTTAAAATTTTTTTTTTTTTTATGTTTATAATATAATAAAAGATTAATTCATGATCTATCAGGACTCTACTTTGGCCTTCATGCTTCTAAAGCCAGCACCTGCAATGGCCTTCGGAGATGCTAAATTCAAAGAACAAGGATCAGACGCTGATAAGGTGCCTCGTGTATATATTAAGACATTGAATGATAGAGTAATCAAACAAGAACAGCAAGATGCTATGATTAGAAGCTGGCCCCCATCGGAGATATTTGATATTAAGAGTGATCACAGCCCTTTTTTCTCCGCTCCCTTTGTTCTTTTTGCCTTTATAATTAAAGCAGCGATAACTTTAGTTGAGTAGTCCGAACGTATCATGCATCAACACCTCTGGTGCTATTTTAAAAGAGCAAAAATAGATTCTATGAGTTTTTGGGTTTGAGTCTCTTGGGGACTAACAGGGTGAGTTATTGGTGTTTTTATCTTGTTAACAATTTCAAAATCCCAGAGGATTAACTTATGTGCACACAAGCTAACTCAAACACCGTCAGTGTTAAAAAAAAAAGTATTATGCATTTAAATCTCTTATGTATTGGAGTTTAAACCTTTAATAATATTGTATTTGGTGGTTTTTATTTTTAAATAAATTCAGTAATTTGATTTTATGCTTTTAAAATACATAAAAAAATACAATAAAATTGGGGAACTGTCTTTTAACCCCCATCTAATTTATCATAGTTCTCCATATTTAATTTTTTTTTTTGTTGTGACAAGTTTATCCTTAATGAAAATTACTAGAAATTAACAATACACAATACAATTACTTTTTTTTTTTTTAATGCTTACATAAACCTAAATTTTTATAATTATTGAAACCTTTTTTTTTATTTCAAATATTTATTTGTTTGATGAATATATTACTTAGAGGTAAGTTTCAAATTTGAAATTTAAGAAAAATGGATATGTATAAAAAAACCTAATTAAGCTTACAGGGTTATTTTCGCTATTAAATGAGGTTTTAAAAGATTTTTTTTTTTTAATATAAAAAACATGTACTATTTAGAAATAGGGTTACCAACAAATTTGATGGGGCTTAAGAATTACTTTCCAAAAAAATATGAGTGTATGTTTTAAATTAATGAGGCTGGCCGAAGATTTGTAAGGTACAGGAGGCCTATATGCCCAAAATGAATCCAATTAGCTAATGATTAAGACTAAGGAAGTGATTTTTAGACCCAGCATATCTTATCTTTAGCCTTCATCTTTTACCTTAGACAAGGGCATAAGGGTATAACAGTATCTGAAAAAATATTAACAATGGTTTTTATATAAATTCTAAAAAAGTAAGCCACTTTTTTCCACCCAAGGTTTGCCTTAATCACACTTCCCACCCAAAAAGTTTTAAATTACCACTTTCCTCCCCAAAGTTAATATTCTGCTACTATCCAAAATCGATTTCGGTATATTTCGGTGGTGAAAATTTTCTCCATCACCACCATTTGAACTTCCAGTCTCCTATCTACAAAACTCCTCTCACTCCGACATCTGATTTCTCGTCAATTGTCAGCCACCGCAAAGTTAGGATTTCCTAATTTCTAGTTGATTCCGACGACAAATATTCAATTGGTCACCACCATCATTCGATCCACCGGCCTCCACTCTATAAAACCCTTTTTACCCTGAGGTAACTCGCTAAATGCCGGTTGAGAAAAAGTGAAATGTATTTTGGGTATTAATGGAATATAAGCTCCGGGTGGGAAAGTGGTATTTTAAAACTTTTTCGGTGGGAAAGTGTCATTAAGGCAAACCTTGGGTGGGAAAAAGTCGTTTATTCATTTAAAATTGGAAGAATTTATAAATATGTTAATTATTTTGCTCTAGATCTGAAATCTTTCAATATTTTCTATTTACATGTCATATCTAAAAACACTCTGGAAACTAACATAAACACATTGTTTGATTCAATTTCTAGTAATTTCTTGGTTATTTGATCAGTTTTTCAAACAATGTAATCTATAATAACTTCCCTAAATATAAAACTTAAAGAAGAAGAAGAAAATAAACTAATAAACTCCAAAATTAAAGAAGATTAAATGGTAGTTGTGTTTGCTTTTTCGATATTTTCTGATATTTATTAAATCATACCGTCATGAAGTAAAGGAATTCATTGATATTGTTGATGCTAAATTGCTCAGGTTCTGCAAGCATAATTTATCTATGCTGAAATTTAGGCAATACATGGGGTTGAATCTTATTGTAAACCGCTGGTAAATGGATGAGATTGGCCAAAGATAAATGGATACAATTGGCAATAGAGGAGGGAGTAAAAAAAATTGATTTCAATGTCTACCTTGGGTGTATAGCAAATACACCGTGCCTTGAAAAGCTTCCTAGTGTGCCCCGATTGCTTGAAGATCTGTCTGTTATGGCTTGCCGCGATCTTAAGCATCCCATCTCAAAATTATAATTTTGTTTTGTTATTTTGAGTAGTATTTTTGAAATATTATTGGTAAATAGAGTTTAGTGATTATTACGAGGTAAATTTAAAAATTAACTAAAAAAACCTCATAGGTTTGCTAATTTAACTTAACACCCCAATATATAAAAATTTTATAAAATCACAAAAACACCCCCACCACACACAGTTGCCAGATTCTGACCACCACCGTTGGAATCTGATAGGAATCTGGCGTTACGGCCCACGACCGACTGGGTATGGCTGGTTGTGCATCGAGATAGCCTTTTCCAGCCAGATCCACCATGGATCTGGCCAGAAAAGGCCAGATCTACGGCCAGATCTGGCCGCGTTTGATCATCAACGACAACCGAAGAAATGGTCGTCGTTGAAGACCAGCTACGGCAACAACCAGATCTTTGGCTGTAGATCTGGCCGGTAAATGATAGATTGGCGTACTACCGACCAGATCCAGCTGGTAGTGCGCAACGGCCGGAATCTGAAAAATGTGGGTGGGTGGGGTTGTTTTTATCAATTTCTAAACTTTTTTCGGGGGGTTTTTAGTTAAATTAATAAACTTAGGGAGTTTAAAAATAATTGAATAAAATATAATAGTATTTTCAGAATAGGAAAACAAACATGTATTTTAGAAATAGTATTATGGATCTGGCCAGAAAAGGCCAGATCTACGGCCAGATCTGGCCGTGTTTGGTCATCAACGGCAGCCGAAGAAATGGTCGTCGTTGAAGACCAGCTACGGCAACAACCAGATCTTTGGCTGTAGATCTGGCCGGTAAATGATAGATTGGCGCACTACCGACAAGATCCTGCTGGTAGTGCGCAACGGCCGGAATCTGACAAATGTGGGTGGGTGGGGTTGTTTTTGTCAATTTCTAAACTTTTTTCGGGGGGTGCTTAGTTAAATTAATAAACTTAGGGAGTTTAAAAATAGTTGAATAAAATATAATAGTATTTTCAGAGTAGGAAAACAAACATGTATTTTGGAAATAGTATTAACATGATAGGGAAAAATAATTAAACAAACGTACTAATTTATATATGTTCCCAGATGAAGTTGAAAGTGTTAAACTAGTTGTTTTTCCAAGCCTTGAGGAGTTAACTCTTCGTCTTAGTTTTATCTTTACAGGAGTAACAGACCTCGCAGGATATCCATAATTTTACTGACCAAGAGTTTCATAAGTTAATCTCGAAATTCTCTCGGCTTGAGCGTTTTATTTTGGATGAGCGCAAATCCCTCAAAAGGATTGCAATTTCAAGTGCTATCCTTAAGCACTTGTGAGTTTCATCCTATCATAACTTAATGGAATTACATGTTGATACTTTTATTATTTGAAACTCTGTAATTTAGTTTGTTTTCTCTTTTTAAGTTATATACATTTTAGTTAGAGAATAACAAACATTCTTTCTCTTTTTAAGTTATATACATTTTAGTTAGAGAATAACAAACATTCTGAAGGATCTGAAACAGACATTTGACATTTTTTCATACAGTAATATTCCACATTTATGAGTTTATTTAGAAAGAGAAAAATTGAATAATAATATATGGAAGATAATATTTGTTTAAAAAAAGACTTACTGCTATGATTCATGCAATTCTATTTGTTTTATTAAACATAACTAATATAAAACTACTATGTTGTGGATTGTATAATAAAGTTTGGACCAAGTGGAGGAATGTTGGAATTTTAATTTAATTAAAATTATTACATCATTGGTTCGAAACTTTTATTAAAAAAATAAAAAGTAATTTTAATAAGTAGGTAACTGTTGGGCAATTACATTATCCCATGGGCAGTTGTCTGAAAGACAACTGCATATATAATGGGAGAGGTTACAGGTCCCCATTAATGCAATTTTAACCCAAAAACCATCGCACTAGAAATTGCAATTAATTAGAAGACTTTGTAAAACTTTTAGGAGACAGAAGCGTGAATCTAGATTTGATATTCTACAACAATTGCTATGTCAGGAGGTTAGCATTAGAATTAAATTACTTCCGAAATATTCCATGAGTGTTTGTAACACATGTATAATATAAATTGTGAATATATACATGTGATTAGCATTAGAATTAAATTACTTCCGAAATATTCCATGAGTTTTTGTAACACATGTATAATATAAATTGTGAATATATACATGTGATGATGGAATTGAAATATTACAAGATTTTTAGGTCAAAATCACAAAACCCACATTCCGTGAAACAATAGATTTTCTGCTTTGCATCTGGCCAAATACTCCAAACACGGGGTGTTTCTGGTCAATCTCCTACTTGTCTGAAATCTTTACTCCAATGCGGACTTCTACTCTTCTAGACTTCATTTTACTTTCATAAACATTTTCAATCACAATTTTTACAAACAAATGGACTTTCAACTCCCACACCTAATCATTTCATTAAATATTGCCCTTGCCTTCTTTTGATTAATATTAGTGGTGCAAGGTTGCATTCTATTGTGCCTAATTTCCTAGCGGTCAGATTTGTGTCACGCGTCCTTAAGGTGTATCACAGCTTGACGGCCAAGATCATCCCACGTGTCGTCCCATCAGTGTTTACCTTCTCTCACGAGATGATTACTGTCATAAGCATGAGTTAGGTTGCCATTAGCATGGCCCAGTCTGTCACAAGCATGAAGATTACTAACTCAAATCCTGATTAAGGAAATTATGCATGCAAGCAATCTCGTAATACCCACTCTCAACCACTGTCAGATGAACTAAGTATAAAAGAAGCCCACAACTTCTGTTTCACAAGACGATTCCAGTTTTAGTAAAGTTCAAGATGAAAACACACTCATACGTATAAGAGAGCGTTTAGAGAGAGAAGGTCGCGAGAGTTAAATGTCCTCCATTTAGCTCGCATATATTTCCCTTATAATTTCTCTCGATCTTGTAGCACCTCTAAGCAATAAAATAACAATGGATGTAGGCTTGGTCTTTGCATAGTCAAACCACTATAAAAATCTTTGTTGTTCTTTAGTTTTATATGTCGTTTTATTGACTTCACTGGTTACCAGTAACCATGCATATATCTTACCTAGCCCCTCCCAAAGTCGATTAGGTATCTCTGGTTGGTATAAATTTTGTATCAACACATTTAGACCTTTCTTGAAGGATTTTTTTGCAGGAAGGTCAAGGGATT